AATAAATATATTGGCAAAATGTATGATATATTGTTCTAAAGTGGGCCCCGAAAATTACATTTTCATTTGTCTCAAATAAGTAGCTGTTTCACTGACTGGTTTCATATTCAGCTGGCTGCTTCCTGTCTTTATGCTAAGCTAATTATCACCTGGCTCTAGCTTTAGATAGCATGTTTCCATTGAACCATCCCTGTAGAATGATGGATAACTGGTTAGCTGAACGTGATACATAACTGACTAGAACACTAACAGACGACTGACGGACGGAGTTTGAGGAGACGGAAAGCAGTTCGCTGCTTTCTTTCAGCTGAGTTAGTCGAGACGGAACAAATTCATCTTCATCTTTAAAAATCTTAAAGGAAAAACTGATCCTGGAATTTGTAAAAACGCAGTAGAGAATGTATTTGCCGTCTGCGTTTGGCTTACACTTTGTGTCATAGCTCGTTAGAATTAATGTAACTACATGTTTTTGCTGTTTTACCAGATGAAAGTGTCTCGTTGTGTCGCATCCGTTCAGTCTTTGTTCCAGAGCTCAGACGATAAAGAAATTAACAGGGAGGAAAAAACTTTACAATCCAGTGAATAAAACTGCTGATGGGGTGTTGGAGGGTCAGCAGGGGGCGCTAATCCACAGACAGTCCTCTGACTTTTGCTTTCTTAGAGACGGAGATATTTGACTTTTAACGTGCTGACGTATCACTTTCTCTCTGTATGTTGATTATTTCTGAGTGGGGGCTGTGATTTCTTTTCTGGTTGATATTTAACATTTAAAAGGTTGGTGGGACATTAAAGGTTTTCACAAAAATGCAGCGAGTCGTTGAAATCTGTCAGAATCTGAGCGATTAAAAACTATTTGAATAAAATATTTGAAATGATGGTAAACTGACTGTTGAGTGTTTTGTTTTATTGATTGAATTTATAAAGATGGACGGCATGACAGCTCGCCAATAGTGAAGCTGGAACATTCATTCAGTTCATCTTTCTGATCAGTTTGGTTTTAATTAGTTATTTAAAGCTGTAAGAAGGCGGTTTCACATCCTGATCGACAGCTGAGTGTGGGAGTGATACTACAGCACCAACCCTGATCACTACCACACACACTCTGGGTGTTATCCAGGATATTTTGGCTTCATTTTCTTGCAGTGGGAGGAAGTGGAGATGCCAATGTCCGTGGCTTCAGAATCAGCAGACTTTACATCAAATAAAGTTACAGATTCACAACTGAATAAAACATGAAAACCAACTAAAACTGCCCAAATCTCTCCTGAGTTCTTCATCTACATTAATCCATCAGGCCGATCATGTTGGTCCTAAACTGTAATGTTGGTCCAGCATTAGTCCAGAGACACTAAAGCTTCAGGAGCAGAACCTGAAAAGTTCTGAATGAATTTTAAATGTGATTTGACCAATAGGATCATTATTGAACAGCGGAGAGGAAATCAAAAAGAGGAAGTGATGCTGTAGTTAGGGGTCATCGTGTCACTACATGTGGTTCCAGTTTAGTCCATAATGATGAGGCAGCCGGCGGCGGAGAGGTGGGGGGGGGACAGGAAGTTACAGACCTGAAGTTCAAAGTGTCTCAACACGACCTCCTTAAACAATCTGTCACTGCACTGTAAAAAAAAAATCTCTTAAAGCTGTACGATGTAACGTTTCTGTATTAAAATACAAATAAACTCTAGAGCTGTGTTCTGTATGGAGTTGAGTCGTGTACGTCTAAGAGACATTTGGGATAATGTGTCATTTCATTCAGGTAACGGATCCATCGGACACGTCAGAGTGAGGAAGGAAGCTGGCGAATGTGACTAAATGTAAATAAAACTTCAATATGTTCCCTCATCTGTGACAGTTCCTGCGGTTTGGAGGAGGAACGATAACACCGTCTGAAATCAACTTCATCATTCAAAGGTCAAAATAACTGGGAAGAAATACAGACAGTAATGAGTCAGAAAAGGTTGGGAACCAGTGGAGTAAACTGACTTAAAGTGACTTATTTGATGGATATTTGATATTATATTTAATAATGTTTGCTCATAATTCATCTAAACCTCGTGTGTGTGTGTGTGTGTGTGTGTGAGTGTGTGTGTGTGTGTGTGTGTGTGTGTCTCTTTTCCATCATCTGCTTATCAAATTAAAGTCTTTTTCTGTCTCATTGGGTGTATTTTGTGTCAGTTTTGTCCCCGTTTGATTCTATTTTTAGGAGAAACAAATAAATCAGGTCAACGTAACGGCCAAGTTTCTACCTTTTGTGCTCCGAGTCCAGTTCCTGTACTTGCTGTTCAGTCCTCTGTCGTAAAACTGCTTTTATTTTGTGAGTGTGAGTCTGCCAGGGACATTACACAACCCTCTGTTCTTTATACCGAGTATGTTCTCTCTCATGATGTTGTGTTTTTAGAGAGGTTGGGGGGGGTCAGGTCTTCAGGTCTGGGCACAAACTGACACCTTCTGTTCCACTCATATAAAAGCTGCAGGGGCGCGAAGGAGACAGGAAATGATGCAGTCCCTCAGAAAGACAGAAAACATGTTCGTTCTGTGACAGGACGACACGAGAGCGTGTTCATCATCATCACGGTACAGCTACGTCCTGAGATCGTAACATCCAGATGTTCTTCATACCCACATAAACCCAAGTACACATCCAAATAATTCTTAATTTCTGTGTTTCTTCTTTATGTGACAAACATGGAGTCTTTACACTTTGGGGGATCATTAATTGAATCTTTTGATAATCAATTAATTATAAATGTGGTAACATTTGTATAAAGAAGATGCATTTAAGTCACTTTATTCAGATCAATTCTGTGAACACATTTTAAATAGGTTTGACATTAAGTTAATTGAAGTTACCTTAAAAATAAATACCCGAGTTACTTTAAATCAGTTATTAAATCTTTAATGCTTAAATTGTTTGAGGAAACTGGTATCATTTAAACTTTTACTCTTTTTGTTTAAGATGTTAAATGGACTGTACTTATATTCCGAGCCCTTAAAGCGCTTCCATCCACATTCACCCATTCATACACATTCATACAGTGAGCATTCAGGGCATCAGCATCTTGCTCAAGGACACTTTGACATGCAGCGGGAGGACCGGTTTTTGACTTCCTGTCTGTGGCTCCGAGCCCGCTGGCTCCCACTGAAGATGTAAACCTCTAAAAGTTGCTCACAGATATATCGTTTAATACTTAAGAAAGGTTGAGTCCCTTCCTGAATCAGCTGCTCAAACAAACAGGAGGAAATAAAAGTGGATTTGTTGGGGACTATTTTTAGCGGCGGATGAATCCACATTTGGTGCTGCGGTGAGTATCTGCGGCAGCAGGACGGCGTGTTACTGAACTACAGTGTGTGTGTTGGTGGTGAAGAGCTCAGAGGACGAAGCTTGAATCTGTTGGCTGGAAATAAACAGAGTGAAACCCAAAGTGATCGCAGCTCATCAGAAACCCGTCACTGGATCCATTTTTAATGTCTGACTCGTGTTTGCTCCCTCTCACACACAGAGAGCGGGCGGGAGGGGGGTGATGGAGAGTGTCCTCGCGGGGACTCGTGGCGATGCAAATCTCTGCAGCCTCCTGCCTCCGCTCGCCCGGCTGATTTCCTGCCTGATAGAAACGTCAGAGGCAAATGAGACGCAGCTCTGGGTTCCTGCTGCCTTCACTGTCTCCATTGTCATCCAGCTTTATCACAGTGTGTTCATCATCCATCGAATGAGACTCCCAGAGTTTAATATCGCTGCTGCTTCCTGATCTACACAAACACTGACACTGATTTGATCCATTAATACGTTTTATGACAGAATATCCTCAACATGCTTATATATTTTCTATAAATCATCAATATTCATACATCCAGCCTTTAATAATATCCAGCCTTTAATAATAATAATAACTTACTTTCACTAACTACATTTAAATTGTTGACACTGATTACATCACTTTTGAGCTAAATTAATTTCTCTGGTTTTACAGTGTAAAGTGAAATGAGTTTAACCTTAAACATGTGCAGCAGTAAAATGCCACATACACATTAATGCAGCAGGAATACTAATATAAAAACATCCCATATAAATATAAAACACTGACTCAGAACTTCTCGCTATACTTTTATACTTTAACTCGAGGTTTTGAATGCTGGGAAAGTAAAAGATGTGAACACTCAGAGTAATAATGTGATAAATGGATCCTGTGTACTTCTGACAGCAGGTTCAGTCTTCCTCTTTAACATGCTCTCCTCCAGTGGTCCATTACTTCACCAGCTGAAGGTCAAAGAGGACTGATCCACTCTGTGGCACAGAGCCAGAATCCAACCAAGTGAAGGTGCCAGTACCCTCAACCGTAAAGGAAGAACCTCACCAGCATCGCTGTACGCAGGCCTTTAGAAATACCGAGGGCCAACAACTGAACTTGCTCAGAGGGTTTTAGGCAGAAGTTACCTTTGGACAACTATTACACAGCTTTTATTGTCTACCCCTTGGAATAAATACTGAGGACAAAAATCAGAACCCGAACCCGTTTCAGGCTCTGCTGTGGATTAATCGCCCCCATACGGAGAACAAATGGAACCAAACAGAATAATATCTGCAATGTGACCTCAATAACAGAAGCTGAAAGGTTTCCTCTCAGGATATAGAGAATAAAAACCAATAGAGCATGTTAAAATGTAGACTTTATTTTGTACCATTTTATTAATTATAACTTTATTAACACACACTGCAGTCTCACACTAATACAACCCTCAACACTTATATTCATTCATTTTATATAGTTTGTTGTACTGAGAGTTTGTGTGTGTGTGTGTGTGTGTGTGTGTGTGTGTGTGTGTGTGTGTTAAATTACAGTTGCGGGGAAAGTTTGTCTGACTTATTTTATTTTGAAATGTTGGCCTTATATCTGTGGGGCTGGATTTATTTTGACAACCTGACCGGAAGTGCATCCTTTAATTCATCTGCAGCTTGACTCCGCTTCGCCTCCAAACCGCAGACTGTACAGTGACTGTTCTCTCTGCTCAGTGGAAGCATCTTCACACCGCCGCCGGGGAGTCCGGATCAGTAAAGCGAACCCACCCGAACAGAAGAGCCTCCCCCCTCTCTCTCTCTCTCTCCCTCTGTGTCTCTTCCCCTCTCCGTCTCCATCTCTCTCCAAACTTTGGAGACCTTTGCGCGTCAGTGAGGCGCATTTTGGATTTTGCCGATTTGGAGTGAGAAAACTTTGCGCGCAGCAGAAACTTCAAACTAAAAGAAGAAGTTCCCTGAGAGTTTGTGGAGAGGGAGAATGACCCTGCAGGGGGACCAGCTGCCGCTCCAGTGAAAACATGTGAGTGCTCAGATATTCAGAAGTCGCTGTTTGATGCTGCTGATGGAAGATTTCATGTAGAAGCTTTTGTGCGTTCTGGGCGTCCAGCCGCAGGTTTCCTGCCAGTTATTCTTCCTCAAATGTGATTTTAGGCGTCCAGAAGCAACATGAGATATAAATGTTTAGTGTTTGAAGTTTTATTTCTTTGTCATGTTCCTTAAATGTGCTGAAACATCTTCACGTTGAGCTCCATAGTTGATCCAAAGCTCCGTTTTCAAACATTTAACCCTCAAATGACTTCATCCTAACCCTCATCTGGACTGTGGGTTCAGCTTCAGCAGCTCCTCTTCCTCAGTTTCAGACCTGCTGCTCCTCATTTTAATCAAACAGTCAGAAGTTTGTTGCTTTTGAGAGTTGAAGTTGGTTAATGAGGAAAATGAGAGGAAACAGACACAGAAAGAGTGTTTCTGTCCTTTTCTCTTCTAACCTGAGTGAGAGTGAACTCTCGGCTGGAAAAAAGAAAAAAATGTGTTTTCCATGATGTTATTGGCTGCCTATAGTTGCATATGTTTACAATCTGCCGCAGCAGCACACTCACTTTATTCTCTGTGGACAAAAGACAGAGTGACAGAAGGAATGAAAGTTTCTATAATGCAGAAATATAGAAATAATGCATTAATATTAACCTGCGGGATATTATAATGAGGTTTGTGAGATTTGTGAATAGAATCATTAATGAAAGTGAACAAACCCTGAGGTCTGAAATAAATAAAGTCTGGATCTTTAATATCTTTTATTCAGTTTGTAAGTTATATTTCTCTACTTAAAAACAAACATCTGATCTTATTATCTGATTTATTTGTTAGTTTATGTAGCGGGAACACTGCAGGTGAACTCTGTTTGATAGGGAGGAGAGATGCATCGTGGGTTCAGAGCTTTTAAATGTAGATTTAAACAACAGAACAACGTAAAGAAAAGTGAAAGAAAGTGCAGTATTTGTGTGTGTGTATGTATTGATATTGATTTTATTACTGATGAAACCGAGAGATTCCAGACTCTTTCATGTCCAGGACGTCCACAACAGATTCACATTAGACCCAATCTGAGGGTTTTGTCTTAAGCAATCCTCTGTGAGTGTTTTCCTTTAGGTTTAAAGATAGTGAAGTCTTCATAATCAATCAATGATCAAAGTTTGATCACTATAAATACAGTCAACCCTTTCTTCACTTGTTGTTCCAACTTCCAAAATATCTGATAAAAGTTCAAAATAGAGCAGCACGATACGGGAACACACTCACACTGAGATCATTATAACAGATATTAGAGTCCAACATGATTCATGAAGAGCTGGAATGATCACAATTTTAAATTCTTGATGATTTGATGAGTCTGAAACAAACAAACATGTTTTTTTTATGTGATTTAAGATTTGTAGACCAGAACATTTCAGATTTCAGCTTTATTAAAACACTGCAGCTGATTGTTTTTTAGTATCCAGGAGTTTATCTCTGAAGAAAATAAAGTCCTAACAGTCAATCAATGATCAAACTTTGATCACAATAAATTACAGCCAACCAACTTAATGTGATAAAAGTTCCAATATTGTGTCTGCTGCTCTTGCTGCCGGGCCCCTGCAGCCCTCTCTGACCCCCAGTAATCTGTCAGTGCACCATTAATCGTTTAGTCTGTAAAATGTCATTTGGGCAATGATCCGATGAACATTTTTTACAAAGTGACGTCTTCAAAGAGCTTCTTTTGTCCAAAAGCCAGAGACTGTTCATCATAAATGCAGAACATCCTCACAGTGAGGAAGCTGCAACCAGCAAACTTTACACTATTTTCAGTTATTGATTAATAGTTTCAGTCATTGGAGCTCTAAGATACGACAGTGTGAGTATATGTGTGTATGTAACTCAGGCGTTTACTGAAAAAGTAGACACACTTTATTGCTGACTACTGTGTTTTTTAACTCAATAAATGTGATGAAGTAAAGAATAAACAATAAACAAAACATAAATAAACTATTAAAATGAAACTCTTTATGTAGCAGCAACTCCCTTCAGGTTATTAAAAAAGATGTCAGTGTGATTGAATCCCTACGGCCCCGCCCACAGCAGTATTGGGATATAGTGAAGTGATACAGAGCTGAACGGATCATTCAACTCACAGAAAATCAATCAAAGACTGTTAATGATAATGGATTGATCGTGTGATCAGAGCTCCAGCGTCTCCCATGTGAGTATTGTCTCATTTTCCTCGTCTGTCTCAGAAAACTAAAAAACAACTAAACAAAACTTTTCTGACATTTTATAAAGCAAACGACTCGTTGTAGCGCTGCTATTGATTTATTATACCAATAATACAGGAGCATTAGATGTAATCAGTTTCAGCAATTTCTTGAGATAAAAAGGAACTTATTTGGTTTTACAGTGTACAATTTCTCTCCTTTTCAAACCTTCTTGAAACCTGTTGATATCAGTCTTTCATTATGTTTAACAGTTGGTGTGTTTCTCCTCACGAACAGAACTGTGGGCTTTTCTTTTGTGCATGCAAACTGTTGGCTTGTTGGTTTGTTTACTGCGGTAAAAACCAAAAATGAGACATCTTAAGTTGACTAACTGAATAAATAAAAGTCCAATATTTGCCTTTGTGATGTAGTGGAGCAGAAGTTTAAAGTCATAAAAATTGGAAAATACCCTAAAACCTCAATCAATAACCCGGGGTTTTATTTGGAAAATTGGGGAAAACTATCAAGTTGTTAATTTAAACCTGTATGACTATTACTTGTATCCAATAATATATCAATTAGGAATCATTAATTTGATCATCATGTGTGTCCATAATAACAAGATTTAACCTTAAACATTTATATTCGTGTCTGCGATCTAAACAGCTTAAAAGTTACTCAAGCTTTAAAAGGTTTTATACATCCAAAGGAAACCCAGACCAGGCCTCTAATTGAGACCTGGTTGTATTTGTCAAAACGTGAAGCCACAGCAGGCTCGTAAAGGAGACCTGCCTCTAATTTGGACCCTGAAGTTTTACAGTATTTTGACACGTACGTCAAATTTGAGGACCAGTCCCTGTGTAGAAAAAGCTAATATTAGTCCTTACATTGTTTTTGGCTAAAAGAACGTCGTTTAGGGTGTTTTTAGTGCCTTCAAATGTCAAAATGGGTCAAATCTGGACCCACAGGTTGGTGATACGATACGGGACTGACGATAAAAATAATCATTTCAGAAATAAAAGAGATGAATGTACCTGTAGGGATAAAACACTGATGTTAAAGTGATAGTATAAAGGTCTGCACAGTTCCACTGCAGTGATGTGATCTATCGAGGTCTGACTTTATCAAAGAAAGTGTTGTTTAAGGTGGACTCGCTCTGTCGCTGCCAGCTGTTACACAACCTGCGAAGGCGATACGCCCAGAAAACATGTTGTGGTCCCAGAAGGTTGAAGATTTGAACAAGCTGTCTTTAAAAAGGAGTCGTGAGGTGACGTCAAATAACATCCTGTTGACAGGAAACGTGGGGGGGTGTGGGAGGGTTACCTGTCTCCCAGGTGTATGGGCGGACTACATCCCTGATACCTGAAGACACAGGTGAAGGTTTAGGTGGTAAAATGAACTTTACAGAAGCTTTTTTAAAGGAAAGTGGATGAAATGAAGAAGAGGAACAGAGGTGGAGGTTAGCGTCGGGTGGTGCAGAGAGGAATGTGGTTTAATTAAACCGAAGGGGAAGATTTGATCTCTCCACCTGCGGGTTGAGCTTGATCCTGATGACATTAGTCTGAGGATAAGAAGGAGGCATTCCCCTTATTTTCCCTGTAGCCAGTAGAACAGAAAGGCTGGGGAATCCACCCTGGTTGTTGGCTAGAGGAGACTGCCCCCCGCCCCCCAAACTAACCCAAACATGTAAATATGACCTGCTGATGCAATCCCATGTCCTAAAACTGACATTTAAACACCCCTGAGTGGTTTGGCTAAACTATATTTTGTAGGAAACATACAGTAAGTGCTGCTTACTGGCTGGACGGGTGGTGGTCGCATAAAACCAGGACCTTTACACCTGAAAGAGTTCTTCTGCTGGATCTTTAAGCTACAAATCCTCTGGTTAAAGGTCCAGTGTGTAACATTGAGGAGGATCTGTGGCAGAAATGGAATATAAACTATACCATAGATTCTCTTGTACGTGTGGTTGAGTCAAGAGGGTTTCAGTAGGTTGCAATATGCAAGCTCACCACTAGATGGCACTGAATCCTACACACTCGGTCCTTTAAGGTTCGGAAACGATGGTGGTTTTGGTTAAATATTGATGAACCGAGTTCAGTGCTCCAGAAACAATTGTGGCTGTTTCCAAGGAAAATGTAAAAGTATATAAATGTAATTCTTAGGAGACAGGTGACAAAGTGATTTCAAGAGTCAACAGTTTGCAACATTTTTGTACTTTTTTAAAAGTTTCTCAAAAGTTATTTTCATTGGTTACTTATGGTTGAGTAAGATTTGGCATGATTTGGCAGTTATGAGAAAATAATGTTAATGGTACAAATATGTCTCTTTGTTCACTCATTGGTTTGTTAACAGTGGTAAACCCACAGAGAATTAACCCCAATTTTAGACTCTTTTAGCTGCTAGTTTTGGTTTTACTGTCTGGTGCATTTCCAGCAGTAGGAAGCTCTGATAAAAATCACTGTAAACTACCTGCTGAGCAGCAAACAGCAGACAGACACACGCTGGTGAACATAATGGAGCATTTAGCAGCTAAAGAGTCAGATACCTTTCTCAGGAGTTGGTGGATCCCGAGTGTAAACCTACTGTGACATATCCCATTGGTTTGTGGAGCACTGATTTGAAGCCTCGAGTTCAGCATTATAATCGTCGTCATGTTGTTTTTTTGATGCCAGCAGTGGTGACGTACTGAGAGCTAAACTGTGCTCATTGGCTGCTCTTGCTCTCGACTCTTACAGAATATTTCATTTTCCAGATTAATTGTAAAATCTGTTTGTGAAGAGATTTGAGGAGA